AAACAAGTGTGCAGAGGTGGGGGGAGGGGTGCTAGGAAACATCTAGAGTGATTCTCTGCTGTATGGACAGTTAGGAAAAGGTAGGAGAAAGAGGCCTGAGCACTGCCTTTGAATTCCGGGGTTTGGGAGACTGAGGCACTCAGGATGAGTTAGGATGAGCAGGGGTGGGCCTGTGGTTCCAATCCCAGTCTCCCAGCCCCAGGCAGGGAGCAGTTTCCAGGAGCACCTAAGGCCCATCCTTCTAGCTTGACTACTGAAGCCTATGACACCACACTGGCCCTTCAAGTCACCCTCCCCCAGCCTCCTCCTGCTGCAAGACTGTCTTTCCTCTGCCTGTGTAGAAACCAGGCCAGAGGCAGTGGGTCTCTTGTCTCCCAGCGAGGCCAGCCCTCCCTCTGTACTCTGGACCCCATTCTCCGGCACCTTCTCAAAGTCTCACTCTTCCAGGATCTCTGAGGTCTCACCAGCAACTTATTTCCACTAGCAGATATGCTATAATGTCTCCCATCCTCAACACATTTGAACCAGGTTTCATACCTCACCCCTGACCCCACCATCCCATTCCCAGCAAAGTCTCTTGCACCTACTGTCTACACTCACCATCTACACTCAGGGCCCACCTCCTCAGCCCCTTTCATCCCTCTCTGGTCCGCCAGGCTCCACTGCTCCAGGGACTGTCTTCACCAGGGCCATCCGCAACCTCCACGTGGACAATCACACATGCACTTTTCTCTCTCGGCATCTCCTCCTCCACCTCTGAGCAGCACTTGACCAGCGGTCCACTTCCTTCTAGAAACACTCTCCTGTCCTGGTTGTCCTGTAGCTCAGGGACTGCCCCTCGGTCTCCTTAGCAGGTTCCTCTTCACCTTCCCAGTCGCTCAGTATCGGGGTGCCTGGGCTCAGCCTACAGTCACGTCTCTTCATCTACCCTCATTGCCCATGGGGCTTCCCCACACCCAGGCCTCCGGATTATTTGTATGCTTTCAACTTCCAAGTACTGACCACTCTGTGACCTGCCTTTTCCATCTGATGCCACATCTGATCCCCACATCGCTGCATGGTCTTCTGTGCAGTTTTGAATGGCTGCAGCTCACCCCACCAAGCTACCAAGTCCAAGCTCCTCCTGCCTTCCCGATACCTCCACACAGAGGCTGAAGAAGCCTCTCAGACTGAAGCCACCTGAATGGACCTGAAACTCCTCATTCCTCCCCAGTTCCCATGCCTTCTTCTCTTCCAGTCTTCCTTCACCTCACTGAGGGTCTCCATGACTCACCCAGGTGTCCAAGCCCATCCCCTACAACCTCCTGATGTCCTCCCTCCCCTCACCCACTTCTGATCCTCAGTGCATCCCACCCACTCCACCTGCTCCCCAAGCCTCTGTGCTCCCTGCCTTCCCGTCCACGTCACTGCTGCAGCTGCTCCTCCATCTCCCCGCATCCACCCACAATTGCTACAACTCTTTCCCCCATCCCAGCGGAGGGATGTGTCTAAAACACAAATCAGATAATACCACTCCTCTGTTTAACTCTCCTCAGTGTCTTCCAGTTGCCCTTGGAATAAAAGTGGGACTCCTGGCTATGGCCTGCAGAGCTGGGGTGCTATGGCCCATGCCCGTTCCTGCCTGTGGCAGTTGGGCTGCCTCTCCCCAACTCCAGCAGCCCTGGCTCTCCTCCCAGCTTCGGGACCTTTGTTTTGCTGCCCCCCTTCTGTGGGAGCTTCACACACCTGGCTCCTTCCACCCTTTCATCTCCTCTCCGCAGAGAGGTCTTCTTGGATTATGGGCACCCAAAGTCTCCTCCCACCCCTGTGCTCTCAATCACACCCTGGTGGTTTCCTTCCTGCCACTTATCAGGGCTTTGATTACCTTTGTCTTTACATTTGTTTGTTTCTTCTACCTCTGGAATATAAACTCCAAGAGCAGGGACCCCATCTCTCTTGTTTACTCCTTTGCCTGGCTCATAGAAGCAACTTGCCAGGACTGAGGACAGCCACAGGTCTGTTTCTGTGATTCCCCGGCAGCCCCAAAGCCAGGCATCTGCCCCTGCCCGTGACATCATGACTCAGGCCCCAGGCCCCCATCTGGCACGGAGGCCACACCTTGTCCCTCTCCGGCTGGACTCTGCTCCATCCAGTTCCAGGAGCCTGAGGTGCTCCTAGCTGGCACCCCATCCCTCGACACCTTTCAGCCACAAGCAGGCCTCTCTCCCCAAATACCAGAGTCCTGCCCTGCCTCCCTTGCTGCCCTTCATGGAAGCAGAGCTCTCCTTCCCCAGAGTTCCTGACTAGGGCCTTGCTCTAGAGTTTCCAAGAGACCCAGGCCCACTTCCTGAGCCACGCTAGAGTAGCCTGGCTCCTTCAGCCTAAAACCTGTGTACCTGGATCCAGGCTTACACCCCACTCCTCAGAAGTCACTCTCAATGCCCTGAGAGCAAGCAAGTGGTAGGGCCTTCCCAAGAGACAGAAGAGCAGCAACCTCCTTGCCATACCTTTATGCAAAACCATCCAGTGACTCCACTCACCACCAGCTGATGTAGACACACATATCCTATTCCTTGCCACCACCACCTCCCCACCACACACACACACACACACACACACAGTTCATGCTCTGGCCATACCTAACTACTCACCATGCCATTTCACCCATGCACCCAGCAAGATTGCTGCTCCCTCCACCTGGCATTCCCTTCCCACTTCATCTCTTAGCCAGACTCCTATGTGATTTTAAGAATCGGCTGCACGTTGCCTCCTCTGGGTGATCTTCCCTGAGCAGTGTGTGACCCTTTATGCCTGAGATGTCACAGTACATGTATTTTCCCAGAGGTCCTTCTCTCCTCTAGGCTGGGGAAAAAAACAATCCTGGTCTTCAGAGATCCTAGTCCGATGGGGACATGCCCCTCAATGTGACAAGGGCAGTAATGGAAGGATGTGCATACAGGGAATCTGGGAGCCAAGGACCAGAATCCCCACCAGTCCTGGGCAATGGGGAGGCTTCTGGAGGAGGCAGAACTCCTGTGCAGACACAAAGGCAGAGCAGGTGTTTCCCACGGACAAGGAAGGAACGGGGGCGTCCAAGACAGGCAGAACAGCAGGTAGCCTGCCACCAGGGTATGACTCGGCCAGAAATCACAAGTCATTCTCTAAACTGAGTGTAAGTACAAGGGGCAGGACGTGGGGGAAGATAAGGCCAGACTCACAGGCAGGAGCCACACGTGTATGAAGTTCCTATGCCATTAAATGGGAAATATGGTGCTATTTGCTCCACTTGGATAAAAGTACAGGATGAGCCTCTCACCTCTCCACACTTTCATGTGCCCCAGCCAGGATTACTTTGCCAAAGAATTGTTTGGCACCTGGAGCTTTCTTTGTGCAGAAGCATCAGTTATGGCCCCCAGATCCCTTGAGGGTGGGGGTGGCCCAGCCTCTCCATCACCCCTAACGCCCCTCTTCCCTGGAGCGGCCCCACTTGTGAGGGCACTGCAGGGTGCAAGCTGACAAGGACGCCAGGGGCTGCGCCTTGTTTCCCTGCCCAAATATGTCACATGGATCTCTGTAGCAGGATGTGCCCTTCCCCAGCCCTGGCCTCCAGCCCTGCACAAGAGTGTCTGCTGTGCTCACACTGAGGGGGGAAGAGGCCCTGGGAAGGACAGGGCCTGGACTGAGCTGGGTGGGGACTCCATCTTGGCTGGGCATCGGGGCCAGGGCTTGGGATAGGATGTGGCTACAGCCTTGATGAAGCTGGGGCTGGGACTGGGGGAGGCAACCAAGGGACAGTCTGTCCTAGGCTGAAAGAAACCGAAAGACAAAGGGGCTGAGATCCAGGGAACACGACAGCCAGGGAAGGCAGGAGGTTTCCATGAGGCCATGGCTGGGGGCTGGCCCAGCGGGCACCTGATCCCTGGGCCCCTAAAGCTGGCTGCCCTGTGGACTCCCACAGGTGGGGAAGGCCCAAGCAAGGACCTAATCTCTGGACTCCAGGCCATCCAGGGCAATGTTGGCTGGGGTGGGGGCAGGGGACTAGGTCAAGATCCCCTGGGATGGCCTTATGGAAGCCAAGGATTGGGGTACAGGATGCTGGCTCTGCTCTTAGACCACAGGACTCTCCACCACAGATCCTAACCCCTCCAGGCTGCCTGGTCCTCTACCCATGGCCACCACAACACTGGTACTTCCCCATCCCCCTCTCCACCCCTGCCTTATTCCCTTGGTTCCTTTTACACCCCACTTCCCTTGTTAGCCTTGAGCTTTCAGAGGGCAGGCAGACGGGCCTATCATGGGTGCCAGGGAAGGTTTTTAAGTGAAATGCAGCACAAGGACTGGGCAGCTTCATGAACGGGGACAGAGGCAGGCCTCAGTTTCCCATCTTTGCTGAAGACAGCCAGGCATTGACCAGAGGTCTGAGGGCATGGGGTGGGGTGGGGCGGGAAGGAAAGATCAAAAATAGGGAATGAGAGGGCCTCTTGCTGGGTGGGAGGGGACAGAAGAAAGGACAGAATGAGGCAGGCCCTGCCAGCAAGAAACCTCAGCCCTCCATGTAATGCTCATGGTGGGCCCAGGCCCCGTCTGTTCTTACAAGATCCATGTGCTGCTCCCAGGCAGCAGCTGGGCACACATGTTCATGTGCCCACATGTACAGTACACGTGAGGCACGCATGGCAGCCCCCAGCTCCTCTGAAGCCTGGGCCTCCCTCCCACCTTCCGTTCCTTGCCCACAGAAGCCAGAATCTCCGGGGCCCTGGGTACCCTCTCCTTCTTGTCCCAGGCCCAGTGGTAATGCTGACCTGGGGCCTCTGAGCAGGTGCCCAAAAGACAGAGGGAAAAGGGGCCCACACCTCAATGCCAGAGGCAAGAAGAGGAGGGAGTGGGAAGCAGGGCTCTCTGACTAAGCTTGGGGCACCTGCTGGTGCTGGCACTGCAATGGCCCCGGGCTTCCTATTGGGTAGCTGTTGGCCTAGGAGACCTCCCACCCACCAGAGTCCAAAGAGCACAGGTGTGGCTGCCTCTTGGCCTCATCACCATAGGGCCTGTCTCTAATCACAGGGCCTCTGCCTGTGGCCACAGCAGAGAAGCCACTGTCCTGTGAGCACCAGCAACTGACCACCAGCCCTAAACTAACATCAGCCCCCTCGGGGGACCAGCTGCCAGACCTTATTGGAACCCAGGTAAGGTCCTGACCCTCAGGAAGATCCCAGAGCAGTGGTGGCAACTCGGTGGTTTGGCAGGCCAGGGTCTCCAGCCCTCTCCCAGATACAGCCAGAAACACTGCCAAGAAGGACTTGGGACTCGGCTGTGAGCCAGCTGATAGGAAGCAGGGCAGGGGAGCCGGGACGCCAGCAGCATCTTGGGTTGCTTTTCCCAGTGTCTGTGATGTAGACACCCCTTCCCTGCTCCAAGCCCCTAAGTTTGGGGGATAAATGGTGGAAACTCAACCTGCTACAGCCCTACCCCAGCCCACCCCTCCCCAGGAGCAAGGCTAGCCAGTACCAGCCTCACCCATTCCTGCTGTGGGGATCTTCTGTAGCAAATACTTCCTTTGACTTGCCCCAGGGGCCCACAGGGACCCAGAGGGAGCTCCCCGCATGGAGCGGGGGAGCAGGGAGCAGCACTGTTCAGGCAGAGCTTGTTTTCTCTCCCCTTTCTTTATACCTAGAAGCAGGAAGTATTGCCTCCTGGGGATGGAGCTGGGGGAAAGGCAAGCAGGCTTCTAACACCCCTACCTCTGAGGAGGAAAGGGGTCCTCCAAAACAAGGAAAACAAAGGTCCAGCACCTCCTCCACAATCCCTTGTTTACTAGCAACTCATTTTCCCAACACTGAGTCATATTATCAGATCCTTTGTTATTTTTGTAACAGTCCCAATAAACAGGGGCGTGGGCTGCTCTCTTACACTTTGCCCAGGATATTGCAGGGTTCCTGCATAATGCAGGCTCATCACATGGATGCATGGTCACCCACAAACCCGACACCCATTCATGATGCATACATACAAACCTCATTCAAATAACACATACCCTTGACCCACACACTCAACTATCTCCCGCTCACCCGCGACTCCACCCCCACTCCCCTCCCTCCCCGCCTGTACGCATTCACCACATTTACCTTCATTCCATTTCAACATGTATGGCTTCTAGACACCCTCTGTGCCAGGAAGGTGCTGGGAAGACAGTGGTGGCAAGACAAGTTTGTCCTCAGGAGGTCACAGTCCAGTGCCAGGCATTTTCAAACAATTAAGGCACAGGGTTTGCAGGAGGAAGGGCTGGTTTCATTCTCTATGAAATACTCACTTGTGACCTCAGGCCCGTTATCCTCTTTGAGCCTCAGCATCCTCATCTGGTAAATGGGATAATAACAGTACCCACCTGGAGAGGTTATTTTGAGGATTAAATGAGTTGATGAAGGTAAAGTCCAAAGAACAGTGCTCAGAACACAGGCACAAGGAGCTATAAACAACGGTAGTGAAAATTAATATAACATTCACCAGAGGCTTAGCACCAGGCTTGCAGCAGTAGCCAGGGTGGCTGTCATTGTTCAAAAGGAACGTATAAGGTTGGGTGTGGCATTTAGATGGCACTCTGGGCAGGGTGGAGTGTGGGGGTCAAAGAGGGCTTCACTGAGGACATGAACCTTGCGTTGGAATTTAAATGGTTGGGTGAGGAGGTGCTCTGGGCAGAGGGTTCAGGGTATGGAAAGTCAGAGACAGGAGACTTGGTAAGACATTCAGGGAAGTAAAGCTCATTGACAGCTCCCACAGAAAGCCCTGATAAATGCACATACACACGTATGAGCACAAACACCCATGCACACCTCCTGAGCGGGCCCCTAGCTTAAGAGCCAACACTGGCCTCTTCCAAACATGCAGAATTGAAACAAACTTGGACTATAGGCTTGCTTTGCATTTGGCTGCTGAACCTAATGCCTTCCCTCCAGAAGCTAGGTGCAGCCCACCCATCTGGCATCTTTCACACTGAGACCCAGGGTGGGCGGGATATAGTCCCAGGTGCTTTCCACATAGCTTTCCTGGGCCCATTGGAATGAGCTTTATTGACCAAATAATGGGAGGCCAGGGCTGCCTCAGGGCCTCCCAGGCCTAGGCAATATGGAGGGCTCCTCAGATCAGTGGAGGGCATGGCTGGAGAAGGCTCCAGAAAGTCCCCTGGAGCCAGGGGCTTTGGGCCTGGTCCTGGAGGCCCCAGGTCAGAGCGTGGCCCAAGCCTCAGGCCTGGATCAGGGACAAGCAGCAACCTCTCCTGCCCTGGAATTCCTCTCCTGGCCTGAAGACTGTCTTTTTGGTTCAGTTTGGGCTCTAGGGAGTCATTTCAGCAGTGTCAACATGTCCCGGCCCAGCAGCAGAGCCATTTACAGTAAGTGCTCCCTCCTGTCCCCTCTCCCTTCCCTCCCTCAACCTCTTGCCCTCCAGTCTCTCCCTCCCCACACTGACACCCCTCCCTGGTTGTATTTGTCTCTCCTTCTTCTGCCCCCATCCCCTTGCTCTGCACCCCTGCAGTGCAACGGAAGGAGTACTCGCAGAGCATCTCCTTGGAGCCCACTCACCTGCAGTACAGGGTGGAGGTTAGTAACCCTGGGGGCCCAGTTTTCTGATTCAACCCAAGTTTTCATATGCGCTCACAGCCCTGCCAAAAGCAGACATCTCAGACGAGTGTCTGCCACAGAAACCGACTGCCTGAGCCAGCCAGATTGGGGTGGGGAAGGTGGGGGTGGGGGTTGGTCTTTGGGTCTAAAAAGCCTAAATGAGTACCTGCTCAATCTGGGGGAGAAGGGGCAGCTGGGCAGGGGAAACTGGGGGAGAAGGCCAAGGGAAGCTGGCCTAGAGGTTGAGCAGGTGGAGAGGTTGAGCAGGTCCCAAGGCAGGAACAAGAAGCAGGGGGATAGATCAGGAGGTACAGGCAACCACCACAGCCCACCCCTGCCTGCCTCTGGACCCACCCCCTGCTGCACTGGTCCCCAGGGAACTGTTCTTTGCCCAGCTGGAGGCAGGAATGTGTGAGGTCAGCAGTCCCTGTGAGGATTTGAAAGAACCAGGGTTTGAGAGGAGAGATGTCTGGGCTTGAGCTCCCAAGGCAGGCCTGAGCCGCTCGGAGGCTAGAACGGAAGCTCTGGACCAGCCTGGGAGGATGACGCTGGCATTGCGGATTCTAGCTGAAGGGCTGTTAGCAGCATGGTGAAAATGCAGACTAGAAGGGTGGGGTAGGAAAGCACACACTTGGTCAGGCTGAAGCACCTGGGCTAGAAACTGCCCTGGGCAGCAGCAGATTGAGGGCTCTCACAGAGAAGAAGCAGGGAGGGACACCTTGGCGATGGCCTGGAGGCTCCACAGGGCAGGTAGGTCTTTCCGAGCTACTGGGTTGGAGCCAGGGGTTCATGGCAAGGGTGGGGGCTGGGAAGTGCTTCATTTTGGCCCAGCAGGCAAGAGCCAGAGAACTGGGGCTTTCTCCAGGATGTTGGGCATTTGCTCCTGCTGCCAGGTGGCCCTGAACATCAGGCAGTGGGAACTCCGGGAGAGGAGCTGGGAGCTGTGCAGGGAGCTGGGTGGTAGGATCCAGGGCAAAAGGCAGATAGCTTCCCCTCAACAAAGCTCTGGAGGGGAGGCCGAGGAGCAGGACTGTAACTTGTGAACGCAGCATTTGGTTGGGAGAAAGCAGAGGTCTCCTCCAGGAGACAGAATAACAGCAAAAACCTGCTGGAATGATCAGACTAGCATTGGATAAGGGCCTGAGTGGAGACCAAGACCACCTCACTAGGCAAGGTCGGGAAGAAGGAGGGGCTTGATCTTCTTCCTGAGAGTCTGGGAGGTGATGGACTAGCAGAAGAGCAAAAGGCATTCTGGGTATGGGGAACAACATGAGCAACACATGGCAACAGGAACACTAGGTCAGTGCAGAGAAGGACCAGGCTGGGATGGTGGATTCCCACAGGGGGCAAAGAAGCCAAACCCTCTATAATTGTTTATTTTTTGGGTGATTGAGCCTACATCTACCAACATCCAGCATCCTTAGCTAGCCTAGACTGTTAAAATCCATCACCATCCTATCTCCAGAGTCCTAACCCCCCTCATGCAACCCTTTAGACCCCAGGTTGAGAGCCCTATCCTAGCCCAATTATTACCACTGCCCCTCCCCACATTGGCCCTCAAAGGCTGCTCTATGGGCACTGCCTGGGACCTCCCTCACAGGGTGGCCAGGGACATGTCTTCCCCCTCTGCTGCCTTTTCTCCACCCCACCCCTGCCCATCCCCACCTGTAATCCCCATTTCCAAACCATCTCACTGTCCTGGGCCTCCCCCTTTCTCCCCAGCACCTGATGACCTGTAAGCTGGGGACTCATGGAGTCCAGGAGCCCAAGGACGCCATGCAAAAGCTGCAGGAGATGGACACTCAGGGCCGGGTGTGGAGCCAGGACTTGCTCCTGCAGGTCAGAGATGGCTGGCTCCAGCTGCTGGACATCGAGTCAAAGGTCAGCCCTCCCATTACACCCCACAGTAAGTTATAGCCAACTTAGGCTACGGAAACACAAGCACTGGCCATGAACCCCACCTTTCCAAGCGCCAAACAGCAGCCACTCCTCCCCATAGAGTACACACCCAAGCCTAGGAAGAGACCAGGGACAGAGGCACAGGGGTCAGGGGAGATGATGTCCCAGCCACAGACTACTAGGAAGGCTGGGGTGGCCCAGGTTTTGAGCTCCCAGGAGCCACCCTGGCTTTCAGTGACCTCACATCACAGCTGACTTATCTGCTTGGCCCAGGAGGAGCTGGACTCTTACCGCCTGGACAATATCCAGGCCATGGATGTAGTGCTCAACACCTGCTCCTACAACTCTGTCCTGTCCATCACTGTGCGGGAGTCAGGCCTGCCAGGCACCAGCACTCTGCTCTTCCAGTGCCAGGAAGTAGGGGTGAGTGGCCAGGAGCAGGGCTGGGAACTGAGCAGGCATGGGATCCAGCAACCATCACTACCCACTCCCCCAGCTCCAAAAAACAGTCTGCCTGATTGTTGGCTCCTCCAGGCAGAGCGATTGAGGACAAGCCTGCAGAAGGCCTTGGAAGAGGAGCTGCAGCAAAGGTAGGCAGCTGCTGCCCTAGCCCACCTGTAGCACCACAGAGCTCAGGCCTAGGTGGGCCAGGCCGGGACCCCACATGCGGAGTTGCCCAGGAGCCTGTGGCCCAACCAACCTAGGTCCGGAGCTGCGGAAGGGCCAGGCTGGATCAGAGAGCAGATGGGCAGAGGGAAGGGTTTGGAGTAGGCCCAGCAAACACTGGAGACTGGCTCTGGGGACTGACATGGGACCAAGAGGGCCCAGAGCGCAGGCAGATGAGGCAAGGTGGAGTTAAGAAAGGATCCAGATGGGAGACCAGGGAGCAGGACGGGTGGGGGTCCTGGAGAGAGGTGGTGCTGTCCCTGGGTCCAGAGGCAAATGTGTGGGCAGAGCCTTTGTCCCAAGAACCTGTCAGAGCTGTGTGCCCACCATGTGCTCAGCAGACCCCAATTTGGAGCCCTTCACCCAGGCCAGGACAGATGGAGGGGGCCACCTCTGGAAAGGCCACTCCTTAAGGAGCAGGTCCCCCCTCTGGAGCACAGGCCAGCTCCAGAACAGCCCTACGGGATGACCCCAGAGCACAGTAAGTTTGGGGCACACGGGCAAGTGAGAAGAGAAGGTTCAGAGTAAAGGTCAAAAAGGCTCTGGCCCACACTCTCCTCACCTTGCAGGCGTACCGCCATCCCCAAGGCCCTTGTTGCGCCACTCCAGCACCAGAGAACCCAGCGCCTCGGCTCTGCCTCCCCCAGCGCAGCCGCCATCCCCTGAGGACCCAGAGCGGGAGGAGGTAACTACAGGTTCTCTTGGGCTCGTTGAGGCCTCTGGGCCTGAGCCCTGCCCCTCCCCCCAGGAGGCCAGGTCTTGGGGTGGCCAAGGCAGGCCTGGGGCTGAGGAGGGTCAGGGGGGCTTGGTCAGACCCTGGGCTGGGTCCGAGGCTCAGGCTTGTGGTGGGGAGGGGGCAAGGGCAGGCTTGGGAGTTCCATGTGGGCCTAACTGCCCACTCAAGGCCACGGTTGTTTGGAGTCCAGGAGGTACTGAACTATGTCCTAAGGGACATTGAGCTGTTTGTACAAAAGCTGAAGGAGGCCCAGGCAAAGTCCGGTCGTAAGAAGAAGAAACTGGGAAAGAAAAAGTACAAGTATCCACGGGGTGAGTGCTGGGGGCTAGGGGAGAGGAGTTGGGGGGGTCTTGGGATGATCTGTGACCCCCTGCCTTACCCCCTCCCCCACAGGGATGACACAGGCACAGTACATCGATTGCTTCCAGAAGGTCAAGTACAGCATCAACCTCCTGGTGTGTTGCTGTGCCCAAGGTTCCCAGCCCTCCGCCCTCAGTAGGCCCTCCCTCTCCAGTCTCAAGACATCCCAAGCCTTTTTCCTTCTCTAGCTTGTCCCCTGAAACTCTCTGCCCACTCTGGGGACTTTTGGAGAATACCAGGCTCCCAAACAAGGCCCCCAGAATAACTATGGGGCCCTGGAGTCCTGGTGAAGGTGGGGTGGGAGGAAGGGTGGTGACAGGCATCACCCTGTGTTCCCCAGGGGAACCTGGCCAACAGGCTGCAGCAGACAACTGCCCCTGAGTTTGTGTACATCCTCTTCCAAACTCTGGACTTTGTGAGTTGGGGGAAGATATTGCAGTGAAGAGGGACAAATGGAGGTTAAGATGGAGCAGAGACCAGGGTGGAGAGCAGGCAGCAGAGGGCGGCTGTGGGTGTGCCCCTTGCTAACCCAACTCCACCTCCTCCTTGACCCAAGACAAGGAGGGTACTGTGTACAGCACCCCTCAGCAGACGAGGTGGGCTGGGGTTGGAGTCAAGGACACCAGTGCTTGGAGGGAGACGGGAAGGAGCAGCAGGCCGGAGGCAATATGACACTGCAGAAATGGGAAGCCGGGGGCTCCACCACCTTCCCACTCCTGTAGGGCCCTGTGGGAGCCCAGGGGCTTCCTGACACCTTTCATCCCTCCCCTAGATCCTGGCCCAGTGCCCTGAGCCTGGCCTAGCAGCCCAAGTGATCTCACCCCTCCTTACCCCAAAAGCCATCGACCTGCTGCAGTCCTGTCTTAGTCCACCTGACAGTAACCTCTGGAAGGGGCTGGGTGTGGCCTGGACCACCAGCCGGTGAGTGAAGACAAGGCCTGAACTAAATCAAGGGCAAGGGGCATGGGGGCACAGGGCAAGACATCAGAGGGGGCAGGTTCCACATCATCACAGACCAGAAATATCTCAAGACACACTGAGGGACTACATGGGAAAAGTTTCAACTTTTTATTAGACTAAGTATGAATGATTTTTTTAAAGCCTCTGCATACCCACCACAGAAGAAAGGCATTAGCTCAGAAAAAAAGAATAATTCTTCCCAAGAAAGGAGAGTTGGCAACCTTCAAGTAAAATAATTTCTCATTTTTGTGAAGGACAAAGTGAAAACTTTGTCTAATCCAGTCAAAATCTAAGAATTACTGATGTAAGAAATGCTGCAAATGCAACATCAGTAAGACCTGGCAACCAGCTGGCCAAGGAGTTAAGGGAGAAAGAAAAGCTGACAACCAGGAAAGGGGCAGCCAGACAGTAAGGTCAAACTGATGAAAGCTCGGGCAGCGGAAATGAAACCCCGTTTGGATCTGCTGAGTAGGGGTGTTGGTGGAACATTCTACAGACAGGAGGACCTCACCCAGAAGGGGTCCTAACTATGTGGGACCCACCTAACTATGTGGGAGCAGCCTCTGTGGGTCTGGAAACAGTGAGCCTGGACCCCTAGAGGTAAGCAGTCTGGGGGTGGGGGTTTGGGTGGGGGCAGAACTCACTGTCCCAAGCACATTGACTCCATCCCAGAAGACAAGAAGGGAAACTTCTACATGTAGGTGTGAAAGGAAAAGGGTTGAGGAGGCAAAGAGAAATTCCAGAGAGTTAAAAGGAGAAACATAGTTCATAATGCGTGATCAAAACTGAAAGTTTCTGTGATGACTGCCCTTGTACTGTTCACCATGTAAGAATTTATTCACTATGTAAGAATTTTGTTCACCATGTAAGAACTTGTTCGTTATGCTTCAGAAGATTGGAGACTGACAAGAATTAGGCTTAGGGTGGATTAATGATTGTGCATTGAGCATTGACTCCCCTATACAGAATTTTATTGTTGTTAACAACCATTTGATCAATAAATATGAGAGATGCCCTCTCAAAAAATATATATATTTTTATCTGTTAATTTTTAGGAAATTAATCACCAAATGTTGACATTAGCATCTATGTAATATAGCGAGTGACCAAAGAGTATCTGATTCATATTCTACAAATATTTATAAACAAAAGGAATAATAGCTTAAAATAAAAACAAATTAGTTTTTGGCTTTAAGACAGAATAAAAATTTACTTTGACCAAAAAAAAAAAAAATACCATGTGAAACCCCAAGGGGGTCTTCTAGCCCCTAACACTGTGTGGTTCTATCACTTTCATTCAAGCCCCCAATCAGTGCAATACAGGACCCAGCGTGTTCTTATGGAGCTGATACATCTGCATGACATGGACAGAGGAGAGGCTGGCCCACAGATTCGTGCACCTTGGGATTTGTTCACGCTTAACTGTTTGCTCCTTTGTGCACGTTCTGGGGCCTTTCATCTGTGAGCTTGGGCCGTGTCCTCCATTACAGAAGATCTCCAAGGCTATGCTCTGTCCTCTCCTTCCTCTCCACATTCCCCAGCCCAGCACAGAGAGGACTCAGCTTTGTTCTCTTCCCAGGGCTGACTGGACAGGCTCTGAGCCCCCACCCTACCAACCCACATTCTCTGATGGTTGGCAACTTCCAGAATCTTCCAGTCAGGTAAGGGTTGCTTAGCACAGATCCCTACTCAAAGCCCTGGTCTCTGGATAATTTCTGCCCTTTCAGTCTAAACCACTGGGGTCACATGACAACTAAGTGGTAGGTGGGTTCCTGTGGGTACCCATATCTGTGGGGTGGACAGGCAGGGAAGGGGATATAAGGAGCTGTGTGAGTAGATGTGTGGTCTGATAACCCAGCTCCCCACCTCCACACTGGCTGACTCTCACTCTGTTTGGCCCCTACAGGCATCCTTAAAATACCAGGACTCTACTTCCCTCCGGTATGCCCTGGGCTTAATAGGGACTAATGGTTCTGCGGAGGGAGGGCTGGGGTTTATCCTGTGGATCTGTGGATTCTATGCTTCAGAGATGCTCTGGGCTCTCCTTTAGCCAGAAACATATGTGTACAAACATGTCCCTCCCCTACCTTGGGTGAAAAAGCGAATTTTTACCTCTCCAGGCTCCAGTACCTTCTTTATATACTATTCGCATATGCCTCCAGTTTCTCAGAGCTTAGGTATAAAGTGCTCAGAGGAGAGCTCAGATATAGAAAAGTCCACTTCTGGAAGAGTCTTCAGAAATCCACATTTCAGACCCCTCCTGCCTGCAGAAACCCCCACCCCAAACCCCACCTAACACTGCCTGCCATTAAACTCTGTGGAAACCCAAAAGTCACCACCAGACTCCAGGTGGGAGATATCTGGGGCTTTGGGGCTGGACAGGGACTCAATTTCTGAGGCTCTATTCTCCAGCCATGCTGACTCTGTCTCTGGGGGCAAAAGCCCTAGGTTAGGGAGCACCTCACGCTTTGCTCAAGAGGAGACATACCACCATGGCCCTCAGCCTGGGGACCCCAACCTCGTGCTCTCCAGCCCCAGACCTGTCAAGTCAGCCTTGAAAATGCAAGTCCTATATGAGTTTGAAGCTAGGAACACGCAGGAACTGACTGTGGCCCAGGGAGAGGTGCTAGAGGTGAGGTGTGGGCTTGAGCCTAGAAAAGGAGGTGGTGGTTGGTGGGAGCTACAGGCAGCCTGGGGTGGGTAGGGGCTGTTGGGGTGGATGGCCTGGAGAGGGAAAGGAAAGTGGGGAAGGGCCAGGAGAAAAGTCTTATGTGTGCTTGGTGACTGAGGCAGTAACTCTTGACAGGTTCTGGACCAGAGCAAGCGGTGGTGGCTGGTGAAGAAGGAGACGGGGCAGAGCGGCTACATTCCCAGCAACATCCTGGAACCCCTAGAGTTGGGGGACCTGGGGAACCAGAGCTGGTCACCCCCTTGGGTACTACCCAGCCTAGACTGTCCAGAAGCTATAAGGCCTGAATCATTGGTGGGGGCAAGAAGAATTCAGTGACAAGTGGAGGAGATGGTTCTGGTTTGATTTAATCAGCATTATGGCACACTTAACTATGTGCCAAGTTTATCAGGGGGCCAGAGCAGAGAACAAGTCTTGTCCCTGCCAGACAAGCAAACCATGGAGGAAGATAAATGATGTCACAGGAGCCCACAGAAGGGACGCTGATAATGGGGGCTGTGGGTGGCTCTGAGATGGCACAGCCTCTTACCCACAGTTCCCCCTGTTTCTAGGCTCCAATGCTTCGACTTAGCTCAAGGCCGGAGGAGGTCAGGGCCTGGCTGAAGGCAGAGAACTTCTCCACTTTGTGAGTGCCTAGCCCCATGGGGTGTGTTGGGAGATAATAAAAGACTCAGATAATAACCAAGGAGACCCAGATTCAGAACATACAACCTGACCTACACGGTGCAAAACAGACCCCTGTCACTGTGTGGCCTCTGCTGAGAGCAGAAGAGAGGGCAGTGTTAGAGTACTGAATGAGGAACCCCTGCCGTAGGGAAGGCAGCAAGATCAGAGGGAATGCAGGAACTGCCAAGCACCCCTCTGCACCCCAAGATTCTCTTCTAGGGCACTTCTCCCTTCAAACCCAGGAGTTCCAGAATTGGCTTAAGCCAATATGCATGTCCTATTCCTTCACCTCCAGATACCCTTGTCCATGAATTTTCCTGCAACCCCAGCCTCTAAGCCCAAACAGCTCCTTCTCTACCCAAATGCTCAGACCCAAGTCCTTCTACCCACCACTGACAGCTTCTGCTGTTTTTGCTCCCAGCACGGTAAGGACCCTCGGATCCCTGATGGGAAGCCAGCTGATTCACATGAGAGCCGGGGAGCTACAGATGCTGTGTCCACAGGAGGCCCCACGAATCCTGGCAAGGCTAGAGGCAGTCAGAAGGATGCTGGGGGTGAGGACACCCTGCAGTCCTGACCCCCACTTGAAATTCAGGGTGCTCCCAGGGTAAGAGTAAGAGCGCCAAGTGGACAAGCCAGCAGCCCAGCCCTGAGGAGGAAGTGAGTGTAGGAAGGAGCGGGCCACCAGATATTCTCCCAGGGGCTTGACCTCATGGGTCAAACATGCTGGGAGGCTCCAAGCTGATCCATGGCATGGGCTTTTGGGGCTTCCTCACCCACACCAACTGAATCTCAATCCTTTTCTTTCCTTAAGATGAGCCCTTAGGATTCAGACACCTCCAAGACCAAGGCCCTCTCACAAGCAAGACAGTGGATCGGATACTCTTCAGAGCCCTGAGAATTCCTCTTTCAGGTTTCCAGTTTGCAGAGAACCCCACACCCCAGCTCACACAGTACAGGATGAGCAAGCCCAGAGATTGAGACAAATGATGCCTCTACTTGCTGTGTTGACAGCCCTCCTCAGCCCAACTATTTATTGTATCTCTTTCCTAAACCAGGACCACTTATGCCTAGATTTGTTAGGACTCTTTTTGTCCCTCTCCTCCTTAATAAAGCATATTCAAGCTTGTACGTCTCCCCACCACCACCTTGCAACTTCTTCTGGGTCTGGCGGGGGCCAAAGGCAGAGAGGCAGGAAGAGCTGGGATGCTGGGCGTGAGACAGCAGCAGCCCTACGTCCGTCCCTGGGCCACACTGTTTAAATACAAGGGGGATTTCCTACGACAGTCAAACGAGCTCAGACAGAATCTGAGAATTAGGGTCCAAGCTCTCCTTTCTTTCTAAACAAACACCAAAGTAAGGCCTTGCTCACTATCCTTATCCTTCTGTGTATACTTCTCCCAGAATATTACAAGGCACTGGCACAGCTGCAGGCACACCTCACAGGAGCAGAGTATGGGAGCTGACAGGGGTGGGTTTCCATTAGCCACACTGGCTGGAAATCCCCAGAAGTACCAGCATGTGTGTCAGGTGCTCCAGGCTCAAGTTAGCAACTTTCTCCCTTAGTATAACTTTTTTTCCCTCCTGTTGGGTAAACCAACCTTGAACTTCCTCCCCAGCTTGTCTCTTTAGTAACAGCTCATAGGCAACACTGGACTGGAAGTCAAAGGTCTACCAACTGGCTGTGTAAACTCTGGCAAGACATTTCACTCTCTGGGTCCTAAGAAGAGTTTGGGTCATTTTGGTTTCTAATACCTAGTATACACAGCCTTCTTTAATTTCATTACTGTCAGACTCTCCTCCCAGCATAATAGAGGTTGTACTTCTTTGATTTGGTGTATAGATAAGTGTATAGATGACTATGGTTCAAGGGCCTTTTGAGGGTTTTTTAGATGTTCCCTTAAGTTTCTCTTAGCTGAATTTGTGCATGACTCTAGCATTGTTTGGGCCCCAGATTACCCTGTTTTTAGACTGCCTAGGTCATTCCCTAAAGTTGCTGGCCTCAGAAAATCATCTCTCTCAGCTGGTAACACTGAATAGGAAAGCAAACTTTTTCCCTCACAAAAGAAAAAAAGGTGAGACCCTTGAGGTCTAACTATCAAGGGCAAAAGTTAAAGAAAAGTTAATTTCTTGGGAAGGGGAGAAAAAAATAGCACCATTGCACACTGGGTTTTATGGAGTTGATGAAGTCCTAGAAGCCGAGAACACCTCCAGGAGCAGGAAAAAAATGTTTTTTAGCCCTGTGCTCCCTAGATCTCCCAGCAAAGAAAGAGATGAGGTGAGGGGCTGTCTGGATATCCAAGAGCAGTAGAACTAGCCCAAGGCGTGCTATTACATAGACCTAGGTTTGTGTCCCAGGTCACACGTGGGAACTTGGGCTTAGAAAGGAAACTCACTCAGCCTCTCTAGGCCTTGCTTATCTTCTCTCAAATGGGCACAAAACCCACTTCACCAAGTTGTGATGAGGCTTAAGTTGGAATAAATCAGCTGACAAATATGAAATACCTATACTACAGCCTGGCATATGATAGGTGTTCAATAAATGTTAGTCTTTTACCTCAAGTTCATTGTAACTGGCCTTTTGTTATATTGGGAGGAGAAATCGAGGCATTATAAATTCATCTATCCCTATGTGTTTTCACTTTTTTCCTTTCTTCTTTGTGGTGAAACGTCCTTTTAAAAAGTCCCTACCTTGCTTCAAGTGAACTAAGGGGTAAATGTGATTTTTTGCACCCAGGCTAGAGGGTGGAGGGGCGGGCTAGGGGCTCAGTGTCCTAAGTGGCCATGCTGTGAAGCCAGGCCAGCAACTTTCCCAGTAACTCTGGATTCCTCCCCGCCCACCTTCAATGCACACGCCAGAGACAGCCATTCCCTGGTGGTCAGCCTCAGTCCATCTTAGTGCTTGCCCAGCTTCCCCCACGCCACCCCCATCTCGATAAGTATTTGTGGCAAGAACTCACCCTCCCGGGGTAACCAGCTCCCTCACTGCCTGGGCAGTTGGCGCTCATCCTGCCCAGACTGGCACTACTAACTGAGCAGGGCTTCACCCTTGGGGAGCGCACAGCCCCAACCCCAGGCCACCCAGGCCAGTGGCTGCGCCCCTCGTTTCTCTCCGCGGGGTCGCCCGGGGTCGCCCGTCCCCCAACCCTTGGGCCAGCAGAAGTGGTGCCCGCGCGGCCCCGTGGAGACGCGGAGAGAGGGGACGAGGACGCGTGGGGGCGGAGTCGGGACGCTCGTGTTGGCCCCGCCTACTTACGCGGCGTATAAAGTCGCGCCCGCTTGCCGTCTACCTCCAGTCCTCGAAGGCTCGGCAAGCAGCGTCTTTATGTCGTCGTCCAAGTCGTCTGTGGTGCTGGGTTACTGGGATATTCGCGGGGTGAGTGCTAAATTAACCGCCGAGCCGCTGGGCAGGGAGACGGAGGCAGAGGCGGCAGCTCTGTATCCGAAAGAATGACTCGACTCAGGAGCCAAGCCTCCTTCGCCCCTGCACGGCAGGCCGCACAGAGCTCCTGGGCCACGGAGGCCGACCCCTGCCCCGCCTCCGGGATCGCTGGGCCCCGTGGAGTGGAGCTGAGGGCAGAGAGCCGTCGGGGCGGATCCCTGGGGGCGTTTAACGACAGCCTCGTTGGGTTACAAGGTCTCGGCAGTCCCGGGCGGGGGAACGTTGGGGAGCGGGGGTGGGGGG